AGTGCATTTTATCCTATTCAAATTTTATTGTATATTTATTTGATAAGACAGCCAAAGAGAAAGAGAAAACGTGGGGAGCAAAGAGAGAAGGTAGACATGCAGCAAAGGGTTAAGGCCAGGGGTCAAACCAGCTACGCTTTGCTTCAATGAGGACTACAGCCACGTCTGCCTCTGCCACACTCTGCAACATGCACTCTTTCAGCTCACTACTATCGGGTCGCCTCCCTGTTGATGTGTTACGTATGGAAACAGTTGGCAAAGCCCTAGACTGTACAAGACAACAATAGTAAGAGGCTAACAGGATATACATCAAATGATGAAAACACTGTCAGTGTTAGAGCTGTGTACTATTTGATTGTATGATTGGAAAATGTTGTCTTTCTTGTGTCTTCTCTTCGTCTGCAGAGTTTTTGTTTACTATCTGGCTTACTACCAACACATCCATGCTATTCAACTTCCAGTTCAAAGCCTGGCATAGGAACACTGGAGCATATGCAAGACACTTTTGCCAGTTTCAGTTTGACTGACCCGTATACATGACAGAGAAAATACATCCCCAGCTAACTCCAGATATGTTAGTCTGACTATGAGAAGTTCCATTTAGTTTGATTTCAGTCCGAGTAATGTGTTCACATAGGTTACAGTCAGATTAAGTCAATAAATCAGTTTTGAACAACAAGTAAATGACATGATTGTTGGTGTTTCAGCCCTTACATGCAGCTATTTGGCGTTGATAGTTTTCCCTCTTGTTTTCTCCATTGAAGCATAATTTGTGAATTTCATCACTAGTCGTTGGATTATTTCTTCTTTGTGCTCTCTCTCTCTCTCTCTCTCTCTCTCTCTCTCCCACAAATACACACTCTCAAACTGACACACACAGGGGTGTGAGAGTGCCCTGTTAGCTGGGCTTCTACAGAGGAACACTGATAGAAATCCAATGGAACCACATTGCAGATGAAAAAAGATTCACAGTGTAGGGCGCACGCAAGCACACACACACACACGCACACACACACACACACACACACACACACACACACACACACACACACACACACACACACACACGCACACACACACACACAGGGCAGTTTCTTCCCTGTGCTCTTTAAGTATGACATGAATCTGGCGCCATCTTTGATGTTGTGGATAACAGTAATATCTTTGTTTGAAGCCAATTCCATTTCCTTGAAAAGTCTGACCCTGGCCGTGTGTGCTCGGTGGCTGGGAGCGCTGTCGTAATGATGCAGCCATGTGATGGAAGAAAAGATCTGGACAGCCCATTAATGCTGACCACTGAACCACAGAGACCTTTAATGTGCTGTCGCCAACTATCTGCACAGCTTTGTCTGACCAGCACTTTCTCTACAAAGATATCACTCTGGTTTGTAAAGCAAATCGATGTGCACTGATATGGCTGAATTAGGAGGTAATCCATCATATGTTTCTGCATGAAGACAGAGCTGTCACAGCTGTAATTCCTGCTCTGTGTCCATTTTATTTGCTTCCATAATCAGTTTTGCAGTGTTGTGTTTGTGTGCGAGTAAGTCTGAATTTCTGTAGGAGCTATTTTTTGTGTGTCTCAGTTCATCCTCTGCTTTTTTTATGTTTAGTCCAAACAGCTGCGCACACAAAATGGATCGTTTCCTTCAACATTAGTCACTGTTAGCCAAGAAAAAAAGAACACACAGATTTTCTTTGTTGGGAATTTTTTGAAAAACATTGAATGAAGCTTGTTGTCCTGTCTTAAAAATTCAGTGCAAGCAAAGCTTTAAAAGCTAAAAATAGTTATAAAGTTATTAAATATGTGAGGTTGTGTGACAGTTGCTTTGTGGTGCACTGACGGGTGTTTGGAGCACTGTACTCTCCAGTACATTCCTGCTCTATAGGGTTTCATCCCCCCAGAGAAAACATATGCTGCGAAATGTTTTGCACTGTTAAAGGCAACCGTATTGTGCAGCCAGAGAAATGTGCCAGCCAGTATCAGCTTTTTGTAGCAAAACTAGTGAGAATTATTTGAGCTGCTTTTGGAGGGAATTACAGAAATCTTGTGCATCTGAAATTAGATAAACATGGTGATTATCAAAAGTTATCCAGCTGAAAACAGTAGATTAAAAGTGCATTGGGCTGATGCATCATGATATTTGCTACAAAAACATAACTCTTTGTGAATGGCGGATTGGTATGTGTGTCCCTCTGCATAAATGGATTTAAAATATACAAGGGACCTCATACTTTCTGCAACGAAAAGGAAAGGTTTCTCCCTCAACCATGATCACATTTTACAAATGTTAACTGCAACATTACATTTTTGATGAATCTGGAAAACAATCTAGATCTGAGAAACGTCAACAATTCATCTGATGTACTTACAAATCCCAAAGATTTAACACATTGTAGATTTTACATGCCTTGAACTTGGTGTGAAGTGTTTCACTCACAGTGGATTAAGATTTTATTTCATTGTCTGAGACCTAATCCCATTTCTATATTGAGTCTTTGTAAATATACAATGAAGAGTATGGTCTGGACTAGCTCTCTCCTCAAGCGGCTCGAGAAAACGTTTGCAATTATAAACTTGAACCATCTGCTTTTATTTGGTTCATTATTGGACCAGCTCTAAGTCATGCTATAGATTTAGACTGCTGAAGGTACTTGTACATTGAGCTCCTTTCCCTCTTTCTCCATCCTCTTTTCTGTGTCTGTGTCATTAACTTTGAATAATCATGTCCCATCAGAGTCACTAAGGCAACATTCACACTACAGGTTATGATGCACAATCCGGATTTTTTGTTAAATCCGATCTTTTTGTGCGGTCGTTCACATTACAATAACGAATACGGCATCTATTGTGAACAGAATGCGTCCGTGAAGTGACCCGCTTGATGCCTCGCTCGGCCAATTCCTTGGCAATTTCCTCGAACACCACCTGGTTACGGTATGAGCCCTCTATTTTGGCTTGAACTGACCAGTCTCCCCGTATATTTATCAACTCTAATGTTGCTTCTTTTCGCCACTGGCTGGTCTCCGTTCCCTCGTCCGCCATTGCTTTCCGCACCTGTTTGTGTTGTTGAACAATGGTGACATTTGTCGTATATTGATGACATATAGGTCAGATGAACGCGACCTGAGCGTCCACACTGCAGTCACATCGGATGCACATCCGATTGATATCCGCATACCAAAAAAGGCCCGTGTCGGATTTGAAAAAATCAGATATGCACTGTCCACACTTGCATGAAAAAATCAGATATGTGTCACATATGGTTAAAAAATCGGAATTGAACTGCAGTGTGAACATAGCATAATACACAGTCGTTTCCTGGAGTCCCTGAGCTCCATCATTCTGAAGGTTCCTCTGAATTGCCGCTGCAGATGTTTTGCTGCCATAGACCTGCCTGCTTTCCAGCTGCTTCAACTACCAGCATCAATCTTAACTGCAGCGTGTCCACTGTTGTTGAAGATGGGATGGGTGGATTCCATCTTATCCCAGGACAGGGCAAACTTCTGCAGCTGTATACAGCTATGGTGTTTCCATTTGATGCTGGGGCTCCAGCATGAAACACAGGGATTCATCCATCCCTGTCATTGGGTGTATTTGTCCAATGACTGAAACATCCGTAACTTTTCTGTTTTTGGTGCCCTTAAGAAGTCTGAGTAAAACTGACCAGGCATGCTGAGTGACCTTGGGCAGAAGCAGAAAACAAGTTTATGCGGAGAGCAAATGAGGCAAAAACAACATTATTGGGATATAAATCTCTTTATTCAGTATTTCACAGAGCACAGTGGTTTACTGCACTGGTTTATGCAGAGATAAACATCAACTTCTACACACTTTCATTTCCTATTCTAGCTGAAATGTGAAAAAAAAAAATCATAACTTTGATGATTTATATGTTTTATTGAAGGTAGAAATGGACAGGACATTCTGTAACTGTGGGGTTTATTACGTTGCCATTCATAACTGTAACAACCATCAAACACTGTCCCCACCACCATCGTATCATAAAACCACTCATAACCACTAAGTGACATTGAAAGAGAGTTCATTTTAGGGGCAGGGACTACTGCTGAAGAGAAGACTTAAAGACAAGTGTCTCCACAGTAACAGAGTGTCTACATTTGGATCCTCGTGAAGGACATCAGTAAATAGGGATGAAAATTATGGTTCACTGTGGCCATTTGATGGATGCACTCATGCAATAATATAGTATGTAATGGAAAAGGGCTATTTTTAGGTTTACCCGTTTCCCTGCAGCTGTCAACACTTACAGAGAGTACAAAGAGTGATATTAGAGATGGACTGTACCCTTCATTTTGAAATAAACATATCGGGCAGCATTGGTCTCCTAAGTTAAGAAGAAAAAAGCCACTTTTAGTTATGAGGTGTAGATGTGCAAAGAGAAACTGGGAGTATCTGTTGATGCAACATCTTTTCTTTATGCTGTATATTTCATTATTTTTTTTAAATGACAAGAGCATTTATGCCAGATAAAAGCGTCTAAGTGCATTTTTATGTAAATTCCAGACCTATGGGATATGTAAACTATGTCTGATGTGCAATTACACCGTGCAGTGTTGCAGTAAAAGTAAGAAATGTGAAATATAAACTTAGATGGTGAATACTGGCGAGAACTCACAGTTTGCTAGCAAAATGTCAGTCCTGATCACAAAAAGCACAGTCTAAAACGCAGGTCTGTTTGAACACATCGTGAGGACAAAATAGTCTGGTGGAAGCATCTTACTTTGACAAACAAATCCTGGTTTAAAGTCTGAAGCCCATGGTGCACTGCTTTCCTGATATTTAGAGTGGGTTTAAGTGGGATACTGGTTCACAACATGCTGCCCTCTGCCTTTTCTGTACAATTGGAGACGCGGAGCAGGGCTCCCATTCAGAGCGAAACCTGGGATTTTGCTGATACAGTAAGACTGAGTTTTTATTGGGACAGAGGGCTTGGAGTTGTGTTTTCCCTCTCTTTTTATATATGTCACAGTTCTACCTCTTTTATGGGGCTGAAGATGATCTCTGCTTTCTCTTCATAACATGTAGACTGTTTTGCCCAAGAATGACAGAGAGTTATTTTCAAGCTTTATTATGCACATGTAGAAACACACACACACACACACACACGCACGTACGCACGCACGCACACACACACACACACACACACACACGCGATTTATTTATTGATATCTTCAGACACAACTCTTGGTACTACTTGTCATGGTGTCCTTCTGTATTAATGGAGAGTGAACAGGATCCATTATGCACGCAGTAGCCTGCAAAAGCCATGTGGCCCAGCAGAAAATAAATAAATAAATACAGAATGTCATACAGTGCAGGTCTAGAACCTCCTTTCCTGCATCAATGAAGTTCTTCTTATTGTAGCTTAGCTACTGCTCTGCTGGATACTTAGTTAATCAGCTAGCATAGCTACCCTCATGTAACTCAAACAACATCACCACCTGATAGTTTAAAGTTTTGATGAGTCTGTCTTCTATTTATACAGCTTGATAGGGAGTTGAAACAAATTAGTATAATTTAACAATGTATTACTTGGCGGTCTGCTTTTCTAACTGTTTTGGTGTGTTTGGGATCATAAGTTTAGTGGGTCCACGTAGGATGCACTAGCCTTCACAGCCTGGAAACAGAAGAACACACTTAAAGGGATATTCCAACGTAAAATTAAACATCTTTTTAACTTTGCCTAATTTCTTTAGCAAAGGGACTAAACACAACTCACCTACTCTCTTCCAGCAGCAGCTTGTTTGTATGGAGACCTCCGGGCGAGTCCATCAACTGCAGCAGTGGGATACAGCTAAAGGAAGAACATATATGATCATTTCTTCATGGAAATGCAATCAGACTGAGACGCTAAGGCAGAAGAACTACGGCGTCTGCAGTGCAAAATGATTATTATGATGATTATTACTTAAAGGAGATGATAAGTAATGATCATAAATGTTCTTCCTTGAGCTGCGGTCCCCCAACTGCCAGTCAATTGACTGGCCCAGAGGTCGTACAAAGAAGTGGCTGCTGGAAGAGAGTGGGTGAGTTGTGTTTAGTCTCTTTGCTAAAGCAATCAGGCAAAGCTAAAAAAAATGTTTGGTGGCTAGTGCTATGGCTGGGACACTATATGTACTGTTGAATATGGAATATCCCTTTAACAGCCTTCAAAATGAGACAGTCTTTAACGCGCTGCTGTGGCACATTCTTGATTTTGGATTCAGCATACAGTGGGTGTTTTTTGCATTTTTGGAGGAGAGAAGTTGGACATGCTAGCTCAAGCCCAGTTGCAGAGCCAGACATTTGTGATTTCAGTATGAGTGGCACCTCTGAAAGGTAAATAGATAAACACGGATCAGGATTTCAGGGTGGCCTATCAGATTTCCACCTTCGACTCAGCTCCTGCAAATCTGCTGTATAAAGAGCAACACCTCTGCTAGCAGGTACACCTGACTCTTAAAGGGAGTGAGAGCAGACACACCAATTAATCAGATTAATTAATCCAACAAAACACACTGGGGATAATCAAGGCACTGAATTCAACCTTCTTTGCACAGCAAAATGTGGTCAGACATGCCTTAATTCACTCCAGATCATTTGGAAAGCGTGTTATTATTCGGACAGGGCCTACTGTGTCAACAGTGTCACTAAAAGTTTTCGTATTTGACCATTTTTCTTGACAAATACAAGCCAATATTGTATTTTTCTAACATACTGGTAAACTGTGTTGTTCTATCAAATTAATTCAGGAAACATTAAGTGGCATGTGGACTAATGGCTTGAAGTAACAAATCGATGGACTGGGAAAATCTTCAGCTGTGGGAAACCTGACGTCTCTAATTGAACTTTGAAAGATGACAAATGTGAGCTTTCATATACAACATTAGTTTGAATGATCTGTAGTCCTGAAAGAAAGTTACTGTCTCATGTATAATATTGAAATGATGCTGTGGATTTATTATCCCGCATATTACTGTTTTGTCTTCTGCGGCTCAGTGAAGCAGCACTGTGTTGTTTTGTCAACAGAACTCAAACTTCTGATGGTCCATGTGAGGATATGAAGGGACACCAGTGTGTGCTCAGATCCAGTATTATGTTTCAGCTGTGCGACCCATTAGGAAGCCTTTAATTCCTCACTGCAGAGCTCAGACTGAACCACAGAGCCCTGAGGAGCTATAAAGTGTTGATTTATTCCCTCTCCTACTGCTCTGCACGTTGAGCCTGGAGAGAAGCTAATGATGTACTGCTGCAGCTATTTAAACCACTGTTTGAACACTGGTTTAAATATGGAAGGGGAAGTAAGAAATTAGCATCAGTTTTGCTGCTGTGAATCCAGCCTGCCAGCCCGCTCTCAGACACAGTGACTTGCACATTCTGCAGCCGCTTCACGAGAGCAAAGACAAATGGTACGCTTAAGGAAAAAAGTTTAGTTTGGAGAGGAAACTTAATTAAAAAGAATGACTTCATCTGTAAAACATATAAAAATGAGGTTTTAGGAGCACTTTGATGTTTATCAGTTTAAGAACAGGGTTTTAGCTTCAATCAGAAATAAAAGACTGGCTGCAACTGACTTGTGAGAATTCCTGTTTGGATGTATTGTTATCTTCTAAAGGCAAGTTTTGTTTTTTTTTTCTTTCTTTTTTCCATTTCAAACCAGACTGTTTGTCATACTCTGTTTTCACAACAGAAGTGTTGCTACCCTGCTTTATCGTAAAAGCTTTTTGTCATGTGTTCATGTGTTCAGAGACTGAGTTTTTCAATGGAGGTTCAACTCCAGTTCAAAGAAGGCTTTAACTTTTACTGCTCTGTGTCTCTCAGATTCAGAAACTCCCTTTATTCAATTTCTTTTTTAGTAAATTAATTTGTTAACTCTGATTTGCCCTGCTACAGCCACATACACATACATCCACATGCAGCTAAATAAAAATTGACTGTCCTGACAAAGTTCAAATTTTCCCCATAATTCAATTCAAAAAGTGAAATACAACTAATACAGCTGCACCTCTTTTACCTGAATCAAATTTTCTGTCCTGCAGTCTAGTGTACTGAGACGCTTAAATATCTAGTTCTTTATTAATCTAGATGACGTTCATTCATCTTATTTACTGTGATTATCCTCCCTCACTTCATATCAAAGGAGCTGGAAACTTTTTACACATTTTAATATGATTTATTGTTTTTATTTTTTTTGTTTAACCTTTATTTAACCAGGTAAAATCCCAGGGGTGCTGATGGCCTGGCAGTCAAAGTGCACTGTAAAACCTGATGAGTAAGTTCAACTGAAAGAATTTGGGAAAACCAATTGCCTTGAATCATTTAAGTTTATTAACTCATGTTTTTAAGTATGAAAAAACACTTCATTTGAGTTCAAGTAACTTAAATATTTAAAGCTATGGTCACTTGGTATCTAGTTCATCTTTTTAATTCAATTACGTTAAAAAAAAATGAATCCTTAATTATTTTATCCTCATATGAATCCTTTTTCTACACTCATAACTTCAACCTATCTATCTAGTCCATACAAATGCAACCTTTGAGTTGCACGTACTCAGTCTTCCACTGCAGCAAATTATTAGATTCTAGTTAAAACAACTTATGGCTACTCAATTCAAATGAGGAAACCCGTTGCCTTAAACAATTTAATTCATGCATCAGATTTCATACAGCGCTTTATCAGAGACCCTCAAGCACTTTACATTGGATACATCATTCGCTCACACCTTGGTGGTGGTAAACTACTTTAGCAGTCACAGCTGCCCTGGGGCAGACTGACAGAAACGTAGCTGCCAGTTTGCGCCTACAGCCTCTCCGACCACCACCACACAACACTCACAATCATACACTAGTGGGGGACACACACTGGGACCAAGGTGGGTTAAGTGTCTTGCCCAAGGACACAACGGACAGACTTGGGATAGGGAGGAATTAAACCGCCAACCATCAGGTTATTGGACAATCACTTTCCCCCTGAGCTACTGCCGCCCACAAAGTAGTCATAACTCAATATGATACAAGTACAGAACAAGCAAACAATTTATTAAGTTTAACTCAACAGAAAAACAAACGCAAACATTTCAAGCCATTTTTATAAAACAAACTCAAACACATTTCTTACCTCAGATATTAATACTGACAATATTTCCCACTTTGCCAAACAACAAAAATAAAACGTTGTGACTCAACTGAAAATTTCACCTACAAACAGATAAAGTCCTGCTCACTGTTTCTCTCAAATAGAGTAGAAAATTTTCTTCATATTGGTCAAAATGAGAAAATGTAACCCAAACAGGATTAAAGCAGAGGTGAAGTGCAGTAAAAACTATAACATCAATTTTTTGAAACACTTTAAGCTGAACATTGCCATTTTAAACATACAATCCGTTAAATGAGTTCCTGAAAGCTACTCATGCCGGAATATCAGAATGTTCTACAATTTTATGAATACTCAAAACAACTTAGTTGACACCTCAGTTTTTAACTTTCAAGGTCAACTTTATAGGGATGAATGACTGTTTTTTTTTAGTTTTAAGTTAATTGAAATTATTTTGTTTCTTGAAATACCCTGTTAGGTTTTACATTGTGCCATTGTGACTTGATTGCTGTAGTCCTCATGGCAGCGGTCTCTGGTTTGTGTCCCAGCAGCGACCATAGATTGTATATACTATGGACAACTTGGTTCCGCCTACCGCCTGTATACGGATTTGAAGCCAAATAGCTCTCAGTATTTCCGGGATTTTTCTTCATTTCCTGAAACCAGCGCTGTGCAGTAGTGATGCATGCATTCGGCCGCACAGTCGCCGAGAGTCGCTGTGATGACGCTCGGCTCAAACAGCGTATCCTCCCAGGTGAGCTACACAATCCCTGAATGCCCATAGGCTGTATCAAGTGTCAATCATAGAAAACATGAACCCCCTAATAACTTTTAAAAATGGAGCTGCACAGAAAAAAATGGACTTGAGCACAAACCAGTCTTACAATAACTACATGTCAACATCGCAAGCAGGGGGAAGGAAAAATTATGTTCTGTGTAATGAATTTCTAAAGTTTGTCCACAGCTCCATAAGCTTTGCTGGCGGAGGCGGGATTTATGACCTATACTGCAGCCCATCAACAGAGGGTGCTGTTCTTGGAGTGGCTTCACCCAGCAAGGAGGCAGACTCTGTCCATTCTATATACAGTTTATGGCAGCGACCCATTGCTTTATGTCTTCCCCACGGTCACTGCTCTCTACATTTCCTGCCTCACTTCAGCTGTCTTATCTAATCAAGGCAAAAATGCCTCAAAATATACTTTAAAATAGTGGACAAATGTCTTTGCTTTGATAGCAGAATTGCTCAAATTTGGATTTAACAGGCACTTTTTTAGTCTTTAGCAAACTGTCACCCCCTACGTCACCGCACAAGTTTGTGCGGTGACGTAGGGGGTGACAGTTTGCTCTGAACCGCTCTGAAGTCAGTTTGAGTTAGTAGGTCTGCAGGAACACTTCAGGCCAATGTGTTTCAGAATGTATTATTATGATTGGGATAAAGTGTATTGTGCTTTTCAGGTTAAGAGTGTTTCCTTTTGTCGCATTATAAAACCCGATTGGCCTGAAACAAGACTCGTTTAATTCCTGTTTATGTTTGGTCACACTAATCCTGACAGTTTTTTCCACACACACATACACACATGGGAGTTGAACTGTGGCCTACTTTTATAACATGAAATCGCAGTAAAAGTACTGTGGCGTTGCAGGTCTGCACACTCTGTCCAGAGATCAGCGTGACCTGATTGGTCTTGCATGCAGACTGCACGATTAAGATTCATGAGGTTTGAAACAGGGGGAGCAAATGACCAAAGCCATCCCTAACAGCTTGAAAAATTAGACTTTGCATGAAGCACTGGTGCTGGAGAGCTGAAAATTCAA